AGGTGTCTTTCCCCAGGAGTACTCTGGAATGTAGGACCTCTCCAATGCTTTCCAGTTGAACTGAATTCCAGCTGGCTCTTCTGGAACTTGGCAGAGTCAGCCCCACACTCATTGGCTGTGTGGATCATGCGCTTGGCCACCTCCAGGTCACCCTGGTGGTTCTGGCCAACCTCGGCAACGATGAAGTATGGGTGTTGCCTGCCCACCCAGCGCCCAGGACACAGCTCCAGCTCCAGGGGCATCGCAGCAACTCATGCTCCCAGTGCCTCTCTGCCCACCTGGGCTTGGCTGCCACCTCTGCCAGTTAGTGCTTCTTTATTAAATGTTTATCAAGAATCACAGGGATAGAGTAAATAAACAGGTAAATGTGCCCACATGCAGATAACTGAAGGCTATGAAAGCCAAAGTTAACAGACTTCAGCATTACCAACAGAGCTTGTAAAGATGCAATACCAATAATTTTCGTGATATAAATCCTGCCAACTTAATGGTATAAACCCTGAAATATCCCTAATAGTTTTAAACCTTTCCTTCTCCTTCAGTCCACCTTCTTATTTTCTTAGGGAGGAAACTCCAGAATGTTCAAAGAGCAGCTAAACTCAGTTACAATTCATCATACCCATAGCTCTAAAAAAAAAAAAGTAAAAAGTGATATAAAGGAATGATAAGAAGAAATTTTAAAAAGGTACATTTTGAGGTACTTCAAAGGGAAATGAGGGAGAAAGGCTACATGCACACCAGATTTCAGTGCCATAAAGTGTTTACAAACATCTGAATGGAATAATCAGGCCTCAATTCACACTCAATAATGAGGATACAGTTAAATTATATGGTTGATTCATGCTAACTAAAAGGGAATTTTAGAAATGTGATTTTAAAAAAACCTGACTAGTCAAAAATAGAACCATGTGGATTATTTTCCTCACACTGACACCATCCTGCCTCCCTCCCCCAATTTCCTGCATGATACAAGAAAGTTACTTTGCTATCATGTTCTTCTTTTTAACTTTGCATTTATTCAGGAACTCCAGGACCATCATAAACTTTAGAATAGAACTAGAAAGAAATCTCACAAAGTCTGATAACAATCCATTGGGATATTCTCAAATTCTCACTTAAACACACATATGTATGTTCTGAAGGACATTAGGAGTATCATGTACCATGTGGAACTAGTAGGTGCTTAGTAAGTATAAACTACATGAATGGAATTGATTAAACTAAACAGAATGGAATTAGACTGTGAAAAAAAAGCCACTAAAGGCCCATGAAGGGGCATGTGAAGAACTCTTACCTAGTGACATCATTAGTTAAACAAACTGAACTGATTCTCATTTGACATTTTGCCCTTCTTTGAAATCAATTAATAAATCATTCCTATCTGGGAAAGAAAAAAATTCTAATATTTAGTTTCTTCAATATCAACAACTCCATATCTATCTCACAGGGTCATTTCCAAAATCAAATCAGAAAGTATGTGAAAGTACTGTATAAACAACAAAGTGTATGGGGCCAGTGCTGTGGTGTAGTGGGTGAAGTCGCTGCCTGCAGTGCCGGCATCCCATATGGACGCTGCTTCGAGTCCTGGCAGCTCCATTTCTGGTCCAGCTCTCTGCTATGGCCTGGGAAAGCAGTAGAAGATGGCCCAAGTCCTTGGGCCCCTGCACCCATGTGGGAGACACAGAAGAAGCTCCTGGCTCCTGGCTTTGGATTGGTGCAGCTCCAGCTGTTGTGGCCAACTGGGGAGTGAACCAGTGGATGGAAGACCTCTCTCTAGCTCGCTCTAGGTCTCTCCTTCTCTCTCTATGTGTGTAACTCTTTCAAATAAATAAATAAATCTTTAAAAAAAGTGTAAAGTCATTATTTGAAATATCATTATTTTTCCCAATGGGAAATGAGTCAGCACAACAGAGTCAAAAAACTTTAGGCTTTTGGGTGATTACTGATGTCATAAATGAGTGTTAATTGTTAAATCAATAATGGGAGTCACTGTGTACTTACTCCCCATGTAGGATCTCTGTCTTTAATGTGTTCTACTATGCAAATTAACAGTAAAACTACTACTCGAACAGTACTCTATACTTTGTGTGTCTGTGTGGGTGCAGTCTGTTGAAATCTTTACTTAGTATATACTAAGTTGATCTTCTGTATATAAAGATAATTGAAAATGAATCTTGATGAAGAATGGCATGGGAAAGGGAGTAGGAGATGGGATGGTTGTGGGTGGGAGGGAAGTTATTGGGGGAAAAGCCACTATAATAGAAAAGCTGATTTGGATTTAATAAAAAAAAAATATGACTAACACATGTAGGGATTTGGAAATTTATATTTATTAAATATAATTTAGTATATATATATATAAATATAATTTATTAAATAAAAGTTGAAAAAATTTAGGCTTAAGAAACAGATAAATGTGGGCATATGACACAATGATTAAGATGCCATTTAAGATGTCCATATTCCATATTGGAGTGGCTAGGCTCAAGTCTCTGCTACACTTCCAATCCAGCTTCCTGCTAATGTACACCCTGGGAGGACCTGGATGATGGATCAAGTAGTTGGATTCCTCCCACCCACGTGGGAGACCGGGATACAGTTCCAGGCTTCTGGCTTCTGCCTGGCCCACCCTCGTTACTACAGGCATTTGGAGGGGTAAAAAAACCTCTCTCCCTGTCTTTCTCTCTGTCTCTCTTTCAAACAAACAAAACTTCAAAGAATTGGATAAATGAAAATTCCCGAATGTAAAATCTGGATTCCATCATTTAATAGTCACAGAATCTCGAGCCAATTAGCACCAGTAAAATGGGAATAAAGATATTTATTTTACATTGTTGTGAGGAGGATTAAAGATGATATACATAAAGGACTTAACCCTACCTCTGGGCAAGTTGTGCTATATACTAATTTATTATGACAATACATCAACAGATACTTCTCATATGATTATGCCATACATTAGTTCTACTTGGCCACGACTAAGTGGCAAAGGCCAGCACAGAATACCTGTTTTTCTTCTAAAAGAATTATTTTTAAAAGTTTCAGTATGCTAATCAAGAAGTGCATGTACGATATTGGGCACAGTATTAAAAAATTAAAAATGTAGCCAGTCAATAGAAGAAAGAAACAGATCTTGGCGTGCATGTTGCTAGGAAAACCAGTTTATAATTTTGTTAAACCAGCATGTTATGACTTAAAATGTGATATATTTAGGGATATGAAAGTAGTGCTTCTTTGGGATACACAGCAGACTCATAGAATGGCAGATGTCCTAAACAGCACTCTGGCCTCAGAATCAGCCCTTGAGACAGAGAGAGACAGAGAGAGAGACAGAGAGACAGGGACGAGAGAGAGAGAGAGAGGGAGAGAGAGAGAGAGAATGAGAGAATGAGAGAATGAGAATCTTCCATGCAATGGTTCACTCCCAATTAGCCGTGACCGCTCGAGCTGCACTGATCCAAAGCCTGGAGCCAGGAGCTTCCTCCAGGTCTCCCACATGGGTACAGGGGCATAAGAACTTGGGCTATCTTCTACTGCTTTCCCAGGCCATAGCAGAGAGCTGGATCGGAAGTGGAGCAGCCGAGACTTGAACTGGCGCCCATATGGGATGCTGCCACTGCAGGTAGCGGCTTTACTCGCTACACCATAGCGCTGGCCCCTTTTTACTCTATTTCCTTAATTTTCCCTTAATTTTCCCCTGGAGATAATTCCCACTTTCTTTATTAAGTTAATGGACTCAAAGTTTCACTAGCAGAAAGAATGACCAGCACTCACTACCAAAATCCATTTTCCATGTACACATGATCTCACTGCTGCTTTGGGTTCTTCTCGCCTGGTAACCAAATTTCGTACTTTACCAACTCACAGTGCATTTACCTTACTGCATTTCCTCTGTCCAGGGAATATTTTCACCCTTTAGTTTCTGCAGTGATTTACCAATTCCTCTCCTCTCCTCCCCTCCCCTCCCCTCTCCTCCCTCTTTCTTTCAGCTTTTTGTTTTTTGTCCAAAAATAATGCTGAAACAGTTTTCCTGATTCAGTTGATAACCACTAAATCAAACTGAAGTTGAATACAGTGGCCAACTCTGTCTGAGGTTTCAGTCTCCAATGAATCTCATTTTTATGTATTAAAACTGAGACCCAAAGTGTAAGTGTTGTGGCAGGGCAGGTTAAGCTGCCACCTGGTATACCTGTATCCCATATCAGAGTGCCTAGGGATCAAGTCCAAGAATTAGTGTTCCTGGCTATTGGCTTCTACCTGACCCAGCCCTGGCTGTTGCAGATATTTGGGAGTGAACCAGCAAATGGAAGATTTCTCTCTCTCTATCACTCTGTCTTTCAAGTAATTAAATAGACAGATAAACTGAAACCCAAAAGAAAATCACAACGGGGGCAAATGACAAACTGGAAAATTGTAAGATGTTTTCATAATACAGTGATTGACAGCAAAATTAAAACTGTGGTCATTTTTTTATTTATTTTTTATTTTTTTATTTTTATTTTTTTTGACAGAGTGGACAGTGAGAGAGAGAGACAGAGAGAAAGGTCTTCCTTTTGCCGTTGGTTCACCCTCCAATGGCTGCCGCGGCCGGTGCGCTGCGGCCGGCGCACCGCGCTGATCTGGTGGCAGGAGCCAGGAGCCAGGTGCTTTTCCTGGTCTCCCATGGGGTGCAGGGCCCAAGCACCTGGGCCATCCTGCACTGCACTCCCTGGCCACAGCAGAGAGCTGGCCTGGAAGAGGGGCAACCGGGACAGAATCCGGCGCCCCAACCGGGACTAGAACCTGGTGTGCCGGCGCCGCTAGGCGGAGGATTAGCCTAGTGAGCCGCGGCGCCGGCCTGTGGTCATTTTTATATATACATAATTGACTTTAATATCTTATAACTTACAGTCCAGAGTTAAGATTATCATTTGAAAGATGAACTGTTTTAGTTTTACAAATAAAACACTTTATTAATACCTTTTAAATTGATGAATATCTAAATAAGTATACTTACTTACATTTTTAAATAGTTGCTCAGCAAGTTCTCTGACATGCTTTATCATTTTCAATGGATTATTTTCTTCAACTTTAATTCTCTCTACTTCGAAGGCTACCAACTGAGAAAGAGAATCAAATGGCAAAATATTAACACTAACACATCATAATAAAAAAAAAAACCCAAGTGATAATTTCATACATTTGCAAGTAAAAGAAAGTCTAGAATGCATATTATTTTTAAGAGAAAATACTTCAGATTTTTCCTGGGTTTCAGTTCTGTTCTGGGATGACAGCCGATTGAATCTTTGGATTTTCCTGTGGTCCCTCTTGATGATTAAGGGCTCTACTTCTTGGGAAAGCCATTTCTGGAACTCATAGAGACTTTGTGATTCCACAAGCTTACTGCAAGAATTATCTCACACAGGGAAACTCAGAAAGTCTCTACACAATCTCCAATTCACACAATAGGAACCACACATTCACGTCAGTTTGCTAGGACTTCACACCTAGCTCTGCTGGCAGTGTGATCTGACAGGTCACTTGAACTCCTGAGCTTCAGCTTCCTCATAACCTTAGGCTTCTTCAGTTCTCAAATCACCTATACTCCAGTTTGTCTCCCTAACATCTCATTTATGGGGAGAACTATGTGAGTGTGTATGCTTAAGGTAGAGAAAAGAGTGCTGACAGGAAAAAAAAAAAAAACTGGAGGAGAGTAAATGAAGGATGAAAAGAAGAATATAAGATAGGAATCTTTGTTGTCAGATCTAATAGCTTCACTGAAACAGACAGACTATGGGTTGGTTTATTCTAGTTCAGGATTCAGAAAGACTATTAGACAAAGGCTTTTTTTTTTTTTTAATTCCAAGATGTTTACTTGATGGGAGTGTAAGGACAAGATGATGCATGATGCAAACTACTTCTGAAAATTCCATTAAGGCACCATGTGTTTGGCTGCCCAAGCTAAGCTTAAAAAAAGGAATCCTTTCCCAGGAGCAAATTCTATTTTTCTACAAAAGCACATTCCCACGAAAATAGACAAAGAGGAGAGAATGAGAAATTATTTAGATCTGGTCCATTGTTTCTCTTAGGCCCTTGAATGAGGTATAAACATATGACCAACTGACTTTCAAGTAACCACATCAATAAGACATCAAAGTCACCACTGCAGGCACAATAAAGAACTAGATGAACAGTTAGGGAAGACTCAATAGGAATCTAGGACAGGGAGCTTGTCTTATCATTGTTTTCGATCTAGAGGATACATATATAAAATATGTAATAAAAAAGGAGACATCAAATAAACTTATGCCTTCTAGTGTGTCTCAGAGTCAACTATTCTGACAAAGTCTGGAGCAGCTGGTGAAGCAAGAGCAGAATATGAACACACGGTTATGGTTAGGCTCAAAGTCAGAGGGGAATCACTTCAGGACGCAGCCACAAAGATAGTTGGAAGTGATAGCAAGCAAGTTTTCTTCAAGTAATCAATGTGACTTGTTATGAAGACGTTACCAGAGGGAGTTAGTAATGAAAAAGTGAATAGAAAACAAAAAGGATACAGAAACCACTATTACTATTCACAAAGTTTCAAAAACTGACACAATGTAGAAGCTACAAATTATACTGAGGATACTGGAGAGCATCTAATATAATCCTATTCAGTATTATGTATTAATGACTTAGTTTAGAATCTAAAGGCTGATATATAACCAATGTCAACCATATTAAGTGTTAATTGTAGAGGACTGATGGTCAGTAATTGATAAGAAAGATTTGGTCCTATCAGCATAATTTCTCCTACATCTTCTTATGTTTTGTATTATTAACTAAAGCAGTTGGTGTCTGGTGTTCATACTCAGAACTGTAACAGGTATTTATTCTGTAATTCTTACCTAGGAATACTTCACTATCTTTTCAGAGAATAAAAGATCCTTTTCCTATGAAATAAGGATATTTTAAATCTCAATTCCTATCTTCTATTTTTTTTTTAAATTTGACAGAGTTATAGACAGTGAAAGAAAGAGACAGAGACTGAGACAGAGACAGAGAGAGAGAGAGAGAGAGAGAGAAAGGTCTTCCTTCCGTTGGTTCACTCCCCAAATGGCCGCTACGGATGACGCTGCGCAGATCTCGATTCCTACCTTCTACATATAAAATAAAACCACTAGCAGCAAAGATTGACTACTATTACTATTTTGTAATATAATAGGTGCTAGGAATGTTTTTTATTTTATAGATTTAAAGGAACTTTAGATTTATTGGTTTCAATATGATGCTTTTTCAGAAACTGAAAAACAGAGTAAAACTCATTATTCTACGCACCCAAATTAGGTGCTGTGAACACAGAATTAAATAAGAATTTGAGGCCAGCACTGCAGCTCAATAGGCTAATCCTCTGCCTGTGGCGCCGGCACACCGGGTTCTAGTACCAGTTGGGGCGCCTGATTCTTTCCCAGTTGCCCCTCTTCCAGTCCAGCTCTCTGCTGTGGCCTGGGAGTGCAGTGGAGGATGGCCCAGGTGCTTGGGCCCTGCACCCGCATGGGAGACCAGGAGAAGCACCTGGCTCCTGGCTTCGGATAGCACTGTGTGCCGGCCACAGCAGCCATTAGAGGGTGAACCAACGGTAAAGGAAGACCTTTCTCTCTGTCTTTCTCTCTCACTGTCCGCTCTGCGTGTCGGGGCTGGTGCACGATGAATATCACAAAGAAAAGACAGAGGAAAGGGTTTTGAAAAGATGTTTTTAAAAGAGAAAGCACAATAAATGGAAAACAACATTCGTATTTTGAGTTACATCTGCCCTATTTCTTCCTTTAGTGGTCAACTCCTTTAAGGTAAAGATTAAATTTTATTATGTACCAAAGGAGCTAGACAAATTTTGATTACTGAAGCCATGAAGTTAAACTATAGCTCTATCACTGAAAGACTCAATATAACTGCAATTTGAAGTCATATATCTATACATCAAAATTATACCTTTCTTCCTATGAGACAGGGAGAGAGATCAGTGCATTATTTTTTATTTATTTTTATTTTTTGCCAGGCAGAGTTACAGTGAGAAAGAGAGAGAGAGAGAGAGAGAGAGAGAGTTATAGACAGTGATAGAGAGACAAAGAGAACGGTCTTCCTTCCGTAGGTTCACTTCCCTAATGGCCACCACAGCCGGCGTTGCACCAATCCGAAGCCAGGAGCTTGGTACTTCCTCCCGGTCTCCCATGCGGGCACAGGGGACCCAAGCACTTGGGCCATCCTCCACTGCACTCCCGGGCCACAGCAGAGAGCTGGACTGTAAGAGGAGCAACCGGGACTAGTACCCGCTGTCCCAACCAGGACGAGAACCCTGGGTGCTGGTGCCACAGGCATTAGCCAAGTGAGCCATGACGCTGGCTGAGATCAGTGCATTATTGACTCCAAAAAATAACTGAAGTTTTAAATTACTGTCAAAGTTTTAAAACTACTTTAATAAACTCTTGTTTAAAATTTGGGGGAAGGAGGGGAGGGGCTGATGTTGTGGAGCAGTGGGTTAAGCTAATGCCTGTATCCATATGGGCACCAGTTCGAGTCCCTGCTACTCCACTTCTAATTCAGCTCCCTGCTAATGTGGCTGGGAAGATAGCCCAAGTCCTTGGACCCATGTACCCATGTTGGGGACCCACATGCAGTTCCAGACTCCTGGCTTCAAACTGACCCAACTCTAGCCATTGTTGGCCACTTGGAGAGTGAACCAGTGGATGAAGACAGATCTCAATCTCAATCAATCAATTGATCTCTTTCTCTCTCCCCTCTTTTTCTCTCTCTCTCCTACAAACCCTGTAACTCTGAACTTCTGAGGCGTTCCATAATTATATATTTCTAATATATATAATATGAAGGTTTGGTAACATAATAATCAGCACTTAGATTATTTTGTATTTTAATTATATTTTGAGTTAATGTTAAAAACAAAACTTCTCTACTTTCAATACTAGAATATGTGTTTGCAAATAATGCATTCATTTTAGAAGAACTATACCTCATCAAAGAGATCGCAAGATCTATAAGGAGGACCTCTTTCTGAAACAAAACCTGCAAATGCCATTCCATTGAGCACTTTAGTGAGGAAATCATTCTCAACCAAACCACGCTGTCCCAAGAAAGCTGTCTGTAAAGAAAGAAAAAGTAAAACAATATTTTATTGTTTGGTAATGGATAAATGACAAAAAAAAAACACAATAAAGATCAAAGCTTATGTAATGCCTTTATGCATAAACATGTGTTGCTATAAAATGTATTTTTCAGGAGCTGGTTTTGTGGCATAGGGGTAGAACCACAGCCTGCAATGCCAGTATTCTACGCAGGTGCAGGTTTGCACCCTGACTACTCCACCCCAATCCAGCTCCCCGATAATAGCCTAAGAAAAGCAGCTGACGATGGCCCAAGTACTTGGGTCTTTGCCCTCATTGGAGAATGGAGCTGTCGGCTTTGGCCTGGCCCAGCACTGGCTTTCGCAGACATCTGGGGAACGAATAAGCAGATGGAAGAACCCTCTGTCTCTCCTCTCTATGTAACTGACTGTCAAAATAAATAAATATATCTTTAAAAAATATAAAATATATTTCTCTTGAAAAAGTTTTTTGTCTGATACCTGAAATACAACATGTATTGAAAAGAATAAAAATCAATCTGCCCATAATTCAGGAGGGGAAATCAGAAATTAATGTTTAGTTTTAAAAGAAAAACCAACTTAAAGTTAAGAGTATAAAGTAAAGCCTTATGTCAGTTCCTTAGTAGTAAGAATTATCATCCAACCACACAAAGCAGAGATTATAAATAATCACATTTGATAAATTAAGGTCAAAAATAGGGTGCTTTATCTTACTTTGTGAAAATGTATAACTGGCTCTGCATGAATCCTTATAAGTTGTAAGCATGATCTATATCCTTGGAAGAGTTGGGCAAATAATCTAAGGAAAACTGCTCGCACTTCTTTATCCTAAAAATGTAAGAAGAAACATGTTAGGTAATTTAATTTCTAAAAAAATGTTAAGTAAAAAGTTGTAAAGAGTGTTTCAGTCTTCTCATACATAAGTTTCATTTTTGGCAACACTGAACGGTGGCGCTTCTAGTCCATCCTATCACTGGGCAGCTTAGGCTGCTAAACTGTTCTTTGTATTGAACCAAATAAAACTTGCCTCGAATGCATCTCATTTTCCTCTAAGAAAAAAGTAAGTCAGGGTCGTATCTTTTACCATGTTAGAGAAGGGCATATATCCAATTCTTTTGATTTTTCTGTCACTAATATGAAAGGAAAAAATCTTTAAACACTAAGTTTTAAGAGTTTATGAAGTCTGTTTTGAAAAGTTTTACAAAGTGTATGCAAGTTTTAAAAACCTATCCTTACATTAATAAGGCATGACCTTAAAATTGTTAATAATAGCTCAGTTTTTTTTCAAATTTTAATATTTCTATTGATGCCTTTTTCAAATGAAAATATGTCTACTTTATTAATATACAATAAATTTATAAAATAGTCATAGATCATTAAAACTAGCAATAGTACAGATTTTGAAAGAATCACACTCTTAGGGGCCAGTTTTTTTTTTTTTTTAAGATTTTGTTTTTTATTTATTCTAAAGTCAGAGAGTTACACAGAGAGGAGAAAGGCAGAGAGAGAAGTCTTCCGTCCACTGTTTCACTCTCCAACTGGCCGCAATAGCAGGAGCTGTGCAGATCTGCAGCCAGGAGCCAGGAGCTTCTTCCAGGTCTCCCATGTGGGTGCAGGGGCTCAAGAACCTGGCCATCTTCTACTGTTTTCCCAGGTCATAGTAGAGAGCTGGACTGGAAGAAGAGCAGCTGGGACCAGAACTGGTGCCCATATAGGATGCCGGCGCTTCAGGCCAGGGCATTAACCGGCTGCGCTACAGCGCTGGACCCAGAGGCCAGTGTTGTGGCATAGAGGGTAAAACCATTGCCTGTGATGCTGGCATCCCATAAGGGTGCTGTTCATGTCCCAGTTGCTCCACTTGTGATCCAGGTCCCTGCTAATAGCATGGGAAATGAAGTGGAAGATAACCCAAGTGCTTGGGCCCCTGCTACCCTCGTGAGAGCCCCGGATGAAGCTCCTGGCTCCTGACTTTGGCTTGGCGCAGCCCTCCCAACTGTGGACATGTAGAGGGCGAACCAGTGGAGAGAAGATTTCTCTCTTTCTCTCTCTCTCTCTCACACACACACACACACACACACGCACACTCCTCCCCCACCCTAACTTTGACTTTCAAAAAAATAAATATTAAAGAAACAAATCACAAATTTAGAACTATAAGGAAAATTACAAAGCTACTAAATAAAGTCTTGATGAGGAAATGAGGGTCAAGAATGCTTAAGTTACTTGTCAAAGGTGTCCAGCACTATCAGGCTCCTTACTATACATCAAGCTCACCTCCAAGAAATACAATGGGCAAAATAAAAAAAGGGGCCTCTGTTATACATGCACCCTTTTGTCTTCTAACTGGAGCTATCTTCATCTACTTATTCTTCAAACTTAATTCTATTCTATTATTTGTTTGTTTCCATTTTTATAAGCCTCCTTTACATTTTTTAAATTCCCATGGCAAAGTTTCCTATGCTCTAACCCAGGTTCTGATTTTCTGTCCTATACTTGTTCATGCTTCTGCAGGGCAAAGTCTTAGTTCTCCTGTCCTCCTGGTCAGTGCACTTTCCTGTAGCTCTCCCATGAACAGGACATCCAGGACTCTCAGTGGAAACTCTCCAATTTCTAATTTGTGGCACTTTTTACTATGCTGCAACATCTGACTAACTTCACTCAACTTCTTTAACAAACCTACAAAATAGAAGTATTATTAAACTTACCAGCATTTTTGAATGTGATAAAGCTGTTCGTGGAGGAGGAAAAGCATGATCTGCTACTTCCAAATCTGGGTGTAAAATCTACAGCAAAGAAGTTTTCTTAAGTGAAATGTCTTAATAGCAACAAAATCTAACCTTTTTCTAACAAAAAATTTCTAAAAAAAATCTAACAAAATCTAATCTACTTGGGGAATTAAGATGGAAAAGTATGTGTATGAATTATGATCCATTCTCTCCATGAAACACGTTAGATAGTTGAGTTAGTTTGGTGGTAAGATCACTAAGATAAAACAGTCAGTAAAAAAAAAAAAAGTTGTTCTAGAAAGAAACAAATAGTATGGTCTCATTTACTTGAAAATAAAAAACCTCTAAATCTGCATACATATACATACAAGTTGTGATCAATAAAACAACAGTCACCTCTGGGAAAGGAATGGTCAGGGCAGAGCTATTTTTCTGCTTAGCTGATTTTTTTTAAAAACACGCATGTGTTTTCATGTTTCTTATTTTAATAAATTAACTGAAATATGGAGGAAGAAAGGAATAACCTTTTGAACTCTGCAGTCCAGAAGGGAAAGCCCAGTACAATGTGACAAGTGTTACAAATATATAAAATATAATGTATTTAATATAATTAATTCATGCTAGGGAAAGTTGGGGAAAAACAAATAAGGAAATATTTGAGTATGATTTTGAAGGAAAGCAGGTTGGGGAACATGTAGAAAAGAAGGGCTCATGTAAGACTTGCCCAGAGAAAAAGATGAAATGCATCAGTATTTAGCAAATTTTGGTCTGTATAGAATCACTTTCAAATACCAAGGTTTCTTGATAGTATACTTAGAATAGATAAAATAATACTAAAATATTGACAATTATCACCCAATCACCTGCACAGTGATATAACAATGTCTTGGCGTCTATATAATCATCCACAATCATTACATAGTTCAAGTGCTGTATTGTCATTTGATTTAACTATTTACTAACCAACAAAGCTTTATGTATTTGTTACTCAAATCTCCCTCATGGTTTATCAAATATGATTTCTTTTTCAGTGCTGTTTTGACAATATACTATGTTCTGATATCTTATTCACGATACTACAAAATTCACCATTGTGCTCGATAAACATAATAGCCATACTCAGTTCTACCAAAAAGGAATTTTACACATTGGTCAAATGTGGTGGTATAGGTGTAGCAGGTTAAAGTTATCAGTATGCAACACCACCCCTATCAGGAAGAATTAAAATTTTGGTTAATTTTGATATGAAACCCCTGAATAATTGTTAATATCACCAAGATGTAACTACATAAGCAATTTAATAAATTTTCTAGAAACACTGAGCTTTCTACAATCACTTAAAATATTATCTTCTCTCTATGATTAGCATAGAGTGGGTCCTCTGTATATAGAGTCATATTAAAAATGATACATAATGAATAAGGAGATGGGAGAGGGAATGGGAGGTGGGATGGGAAGGGGTGGGGTATGGGGGGAAAGAACCACTATATTCCTAAAGTTGTATCTATATAAAAATGCATTCGTTAAATAAAAATGAAAAAATGAAAAAAGTCAAAAAACCCAAAATACTATCTTCTCAGCATTTGCTATATCCATATACCACCTACACAATTAGAGTTAATATTTTTCCTTAAACTGTCTTTAAGTCATTTCACCTTTTTAAATCTAGTATTTTCTTAGATAATATCTGTCAAATCACAGATTTTATGTTATTTACAATAAGTATATAATTATTGAAAAGATTTAACAATACTACTCAAAGTCACCTCCAGACTTCACTTTGAGAAAAAGTCACCTTGTCACCTCTGCATAAAACAATCATCCTAGAGATAAAGACCAGGAAATAGGCCTAAAGATAGTATGTGATTTTCTCAAAAACATCAAGTGGCACAATGTAGACTGGAATTCAGCTCTCTTGCGCCCTATGCATGTTTCCTTTCCAAATTATCACACTTTGTATTACAGATTACAAACTATATTAGGAAAAGCCAGTTTTCTCTAAATGTTCTCATTTTACAGATATCACTATAACAACATAAGGACTAATACAAATTTTAAAGTTTTCTGTGAATAAAATTCCCCTGGTAATCCTAGATTTCTAGGTTTATATTTAAAGGAAAAAAACTTTTAAGCATTCTAAGCTAACATATTACTACAAGAAAATATGAAGGTCTTTGTCCCAATAATATCTTGGAAAAGAATACAAGATTTCTAGGGTTCACTTTTCTGATGATGGGTAAATGAGCACCTAAAAAAGCTGTTAGTAAAATAATTTTAAAAATCAACCAAGGTAGGGGCTGGTATTGTAGCACATGGAGGTAGGCCACTTCTTTTGATGCTGGCATCCCAACTGAGTTCCAGTTGCTCTGCTTCTGATAGATCTTCCTGCTAACACACAAGAGAAGGCAATGGAAGATGGCCCAAGTATTTGGGCCCCTGCTACCCATCTGGGAGACCTGGATGGAGCTCTACGCTCCTGGCTTCAGCCTGGGAGAATGAACCAGCAAATCAAAGATTTTTTTCTCCCTCCCTTTCTCTATCACTATTCTTTTCTTTTCTTTTAAGTTTTTACTTAATGTATGTACTTTTTCATATATACAACTTTAGGAATATAGTGGTTCTTTCCCCCATACCTAGCCTCCCACCCCAGTTCCCATCCCACCTCCCTCTTCCTCTCCCTCTTCATTATGGTTCATTTTTAGTTCAATTTTATATACAGAGGACCAACTCCATGTTAAGCACAGATTTCAACAGTTTGTACCTCCTCACACACACATAACATATAGAGTACAGTTTGAGAACAAGATTTGCAGTGGATTCTCATAGTAAAACTCATTACGGATGGAGGTCCTACATGGGGAGTAAGTACAGTGACTTCTGTTGTTCCTTTAACAATTAACACTCTCATTTATGATGTCGGTGACCATCTGAGGCTCTTGCCATAGTATGCTTCTCAAAAAAATAAATCTTTTTTTAAAAAATCAACTAAGGTAAAATAATACAAAAGAATTAAACTTGTATCAACAAGAAAACCCAGGCCACAATATATTTTAAAATTAACTTTACTGTGGGGCTGGCGCTGTGGAGTAGCGGGTAAAGGGGCTGCCTGCAGTGCCGGAATCCCATATGGGCGCCGGTTTAAGTCCCAGCTGCTCCACTTCCGATCCAGCTCTCTGCTATGGCCTGGAAAGGGAGAAAACAGCCCAAGTCTTTGGGCCCTTGCACTCATGTGGGAGACACAGAGGAAGCTCCTGGCTCCTGACTTCAGATTGGCTCAGCTCTGGCCATTGTGGCCATTTGGGGAGCGAACCAGGGGATGGAAGATCTAACTCTGCCTTTCAAACAAATAGATGGATCTTAAAAAAAAAAGCAAAAAGCAAAAAAATCTTACTGCATGAAATGCTAGACAATTAAAAGTATAAGCAAGTAATGTTTTTCTGTAGTAATCTGAAAACACTGGCAAGATAACATCACACAGCTTTGCAAGCACTGTATCTACCAAGAAGAAATGGGACGCCAATATGGAGGTTAGAAACAGAGGTAAAATTTCAAAAGTGAGGATTTTAGGGGATTTAGGAATTTAGAGGAAGAGTTTTATCTTGGCTTCATAAGAGTATTCCCAATACCCAGCGCAGTCTTTAATACATAATAGCAATAAATAAACTGAATAAAAGAATGAAGGTAGAACAAATATTGAGTTAGGATTCAAAGTATATTCTAAAGAATATACTTTACCTAGTAAAGGGAGAATTCTAAATACTGTATCAGAATAAACCATGTTTCAACCATATAATTCTCTTTCTTATATAATTAAATTTACAATGTTTTATAAATTTCAACTAACTTAGTGTCAGATTTACATCAGGCGAAAATCACTATTTAAAAAAATAAGTCATACCAAAGAAAGAGCTGCTTGAGTCTGATGTAGAAGTGGCTCTGGAAGGGAAGACAGGTGAATGCATTCAGGAATTTTAATAGTTCCTCCATCCAAATCTGCTATGATTACATCTAACTGAAAGAGATTTTAAAAAAAAGGAGCCTATAATTAACAAAATATATTTGTTGTTAAGCAAATTAATTTGGCCCTAATTCAAAATGAGAGAATCTAAGTGTGGAAATAACTTAGTTGTCCTTATTAACAGAATTCTGAGTTCATGGGTTCCCTGTACTCTGTATTTTTCCAGCTTCTTTTGTACTTAGGTGACTAAGTTTGTGCCCATAAAACACGAGAAGTGATGTATACAGTTTCAGCCCTCCAAGACAGGAGTATGTAATGCTCTACTATGTCTTTCCTTTTCGTATAGGCTAAACTCATGAACTGGAAGCAAATAATCCTTATGCATAGATAGAGAAACAAGAAGGAAAGAAAGTTCAGCTTTGAATGACTTTATGGAGCAAACTGCCCTTGAAAAACTGAACATCTCTATGAACTGGTACATGAGGGGTAAATTCCACTTTGGATACGCTATTATGGTAGTTTAGCTATATCTTTAGTAAACCAGTATTTATTATAAAAGTTAACAAAGCAATTAGTATACATCAAAAGGGCCCTGTTAGGTATTTAAGAAAAAACTTACTTTACACATTTTACAAGAGTCTATTAAAAATAATTTACATAAAAATGTAAGAAAAACTAGCCTGTTGTTACACTGATAATATGATTATAAGTCAATTTTCATTTATTAATTAAAATTCGACAAATTTAATTTGCCAGCACCTGGTTTTAATTACCTCCACTGCTGCTTATATTTATTGCTAATAAAATTATCTATAAACCAGAAGGGCATGCTTCAAATTAGTGCTGATTAAATTTTCCTGAAATGTCTATTGATTTATATATATTTTTATATGGTAATATCAGAATTAAATAGGAACTAGTTATTCACATTTAAGCTTAGGGAAACAAATACAGGTCTTATTAATAATTATGATGTTGAATAATTTTCTGTTAAATGACAGCTCTGTTGTGATTACAACAATAATTATTATGTAAGTACCAACAGAGGTTACTTCTTTGCTAGCATTTACAACTAAAAGAGGAGAATTACAAAGAGTTAAGAATTTGCAGATTATGGGCTTAGTAGGCTAAGCCTCCGCCTGTATGGCCTGGGAAAGCAGTGGAAGATGGTCCAAGTGCTTGGGCCCCTGCACTCTCATGGGAGACCTAGAAGAAGTATTTGGCTTTCAGCCGTTGCCACCATTTGGGGAGCGAACCAATGGATGGAGGACTTTTCTGTCTTTCCTTCTCTCTCTCTCTAACTCTGCCTCTCAAATAAATAAACCTTTAAAAAAAAAAAACAAAGAATTTGCAGATTACAATTATGATGTAGTCGACCCTTCAGTTACAATGTTTGAGAGTATATGCCTCATCTCACATAAAGAAATTACTGGTCAACTCTAATAGCTGGAAATGTTTATATTATGCAGAAATCTGTTTATATATTCCCTATGTATATTGATTACATTTTAGCATGAACTACAAAAAATGGTATTATCCTTCAAAAAAAAGGTATTATCCTTCCTCCCTGTGACAGTCACTTAAATATTTCAGTTATCAAATAGTATCAGATTATCACCTGACAAAATTTCCTTAGGATATTATCTTTCTAAATTCCTGACACCCATGGATGTTCTTCTCTCTAGATTCTTTATTTTGTTTCAATTCCTTTTAAAGTATGATACAGAATTCTAAAAGCATTATTTCAGAAATGAAAATTATTTCAGAAATTATTTCTGTTTGAACACAGAGTCCCCTTTTCCTTCTCTAGTATTTCCATTCACAGACATTAAGAATACAAAAATTTGGTGGATCTCATACCAAACCTGTGTTCCACTAGAAACCCATCACTTTTTGCAAATGCTTTTAAAGATTTATTTATTTGAAAGGCTGAGTGACAGAGATGGAGAGACAGACAGACACAGACACTCCTTCCCCCTGCCCCACCGCTGCCCGATATCTTCCTTCTGCTGGTTCACTCCTCAAATGACATTTTAAGGATTGGCCAGGCTGAAACTAGGAGCCAGAAACTCCACCCCGATCTCCCATGTGGGTGTAAGAGGCCCATGCACTTGGGCAATTTTCTGCTGCTTTCCTAGGAGCACCACCAGGGAGCTGGATTGAAAGTGGAACAGCCAGGACCAGAACCGGTGCTCCACTACGGTATGCTGGCATTGCAGGCAGTAGCTTAACCAGCTGTGCCATAATGCTGACCCGCACCACTCAATATAAGATAGGTCTTAATTAAAATTATGAATAAATTAAACACTAATAACTAAAGTATAACACTAATTAATGGATTGGTTTATCTTCCTTTTTTATATATAGGATAGGAATACAGAAAGATAAAGTTAACATGTCAAAAAGAGTAGTATTTAGGAATATTAATGGAGATGGTTGTGGCACAGTGGGTTAGGCCACCGTTTATGACACCTGCATCCCATAAATCCTGAATGCTCTGCTCTCAATCCAGCTTCCTGTTAATTTGCCTGGGAAAGCAGTGAATTATGGCCCAAAGTACTTATGTCCGTGCCACTCACATGGGACACCTGGATGGAATTCCTGGCTCCTGACTTCGACCTGGCCCAGCCCTGGCTATTGGGGACATCTAGGGAGTGCACCAGTGGATGCAAGATCTCTCTCTCTACTTCTCCCTGCTGCACTCCTCAACCCCAACCCTGCTTCCATCATTCTGCCATTCAAGTAAGTAAGTAACCAAGTAAATAAATAAATAAATCTTTTAAAAAAAGAATGTTAATGAATTCTTTTTAAAATCTTCCATACTTGCTTGTAAGACAAAATTAACATATTTAGACTTTTCAGTGATGCTTTTCCTTCAGCCAATAATGTCTGCTGGAAATTTAAGAGATATGAAAATGGTAGTAATTTGAAATGTCATAGGACTCAAAGAAATATGATTGACATTAAGACTCAATAACTGGAACCTTAAAAAAAAATGAATACTTAGGGGCTGTTACTGTGATGTAGGGGTAGAGCTGCCAACTGCGATGGCAATAGACCATATGGGCACAGGTTCATGTCCTGGCTGCTCCACTTCCAACCCAGCTCCCTGCTAATGGCCTGGGAAAAGCAGATAACGATTGTCCAAGTGTTTGTGCCTCTGCTACCCACTCAGATGAAGCCCCTGGCTCCCAGCCTGGGCCTGGCGCAGCCCTAGCCTTTCCAACTATCTAGAGAATGAACCAGTGGATGGAAGATGTCTTTCTCTCTTTCCTTCTCTCTCTCTCCCTTCTCCCTCTCTGTGTAGCCATTTCAAATAAATAAATCTTTAAAAAAATTAAAGCAGCTTATTTTAAAAAATGAATACTTACAAGTTCATGGATATCAGTTTTAAAGATAGAATGTACTCCAATAATGAAAGGCGTTGGGGAACTTAGAACTTCTAGTAGTTGTGCTGGGAGAATGGGAATATATGGATAGCTGGAAATAATAAAAACATTTTGTCAAATATATTTCTTATACAGTGATATAAGCATTTTCTTTCATGTTTATGCTAGATAAATTTTAGATTACCTATGCTTACAAATTATCAATAATACTATCACCCTTATTAATATGAAAATCTTGAAAGGAGCAATTAAAAATATTCATGTGAAAGATATGATCAGATAAAACAATATAAAGTAAATGGAACCTAAGCCAACTTACTTATCTCATTTCTCTTAGGCAAGTCGTCTCTTCAGGTATTTTAACTTTGTTTTTATTTATTTGACAGAGTTAGACAGTGAGAGAGAGACAGAGAGAAAGGTCTTCTTTCCATTGGTTCACCCCCCAAAACAGCCGCTACGGCCGGACCTATGCCAATCCAAAGCCAGGAGCCAGGTGCTTCCTCCTGGTCTCCCATGAGGGTGCAGGGGCCCAAGCACTTGGGCCATCCTCCACTGCCTTCCTGGGCCACAGCAGAGAGCGGGACTGGAAGAGAAGCAACCGGGACTAGAATTGGCGCCCATATGGGATGCCGTGCTGCAGACAGAGGATTAACCAAGTGAGCCACTGCGCCAGCCCCTTAATATTGTTTGAAAATATTTGCTTTATTTAGAAACCTGACATCAGACAGTAATACTGACTCCCTGATAAGGCCTCTGCTCTCAACATGGGGCAATAATTTCTCTATATAAAATAATCATTCAGGCCGGCGCCGTGGCTCACTAGGCTAATCCTCCGCCTTGCAGCACCGGCACACCGGGTTCTAGTCCCGGTCGGGGCGCTGGATTCTGTCCCGGTTACCCCTCTTCCAGGCCAGTTCTCTGCTGTGGCCAGGGAGCGCAGTGGAGGATGGCCCAGGTGCTTGGGCCCTGCACCCCATGGGAGACCAGGAAAAGCACCTGGCTCCTGGCTCCTGCCATCGGATCAGCGCGGTGCGCTGGCCGCAGCGCGCCGGCCGTGGCGGCCATTGGAGGGTGAACCAACAGCAAAAGGAAGACCTTTCTCTCTGTCTCTCTCTCTCACTGTCCACTCTGGCTGTCAAAAAAAATTAAAAAAAATTAAAAAAAATAAAAATAAAAATAATCATTCAAATCTTATCTTCTATATATAATGTTTACATTCATTAAGAACAGCTAAAAAAATTAAGACCAAAAAGACTTTATCTTATTTAAAAGGTTAAGAGCATATAGACAAACAAAAATTTTTAAGGAAATTATTGAGAGAGTTGAAAATTTTACCTAGTTTGTATAGGTTTATGTTTCCTAGATACTACAATTATCAAATTAATTGAACACTATTATTAAAGATATTCTCCTTATAGCACTATTAGGCATTAATGTTTACTTTGTTTTGTTTTTATACTTTTTGTTGTAGAAAATTTCAACAAATTACTATGAAGCCTCATTATCCAACCCAGATTTGACAATACCAATCCATGGCTATATTCATATCTATATACATATCTTTCAACTCACTTTTGTTCTTTTTTCTACTCTATTATTATAAAGCAAACCCTAGATATCATTACTGTATTGTTAATCTATAAATACTTTAGGAGATGTCTAAAACAGATAAGGCCTCTTTATTAATAAATGGCAACATTATTAAAATATCTAAAATCAATAATTCTTTAATACCAATGGTCAACACTTACTGAATATTTTTATCACAAACTATATTAAGAGAAAATTAAGTATTGCTGACAATACTATTTAAATGTTGTTTTCACGAAATTAGTCAACACTCCATAATGGAAAATCTGGAAAAGTTCCAAAGTCTAGGCTAGGTTTTATCAGAATTATGACTCACATAATGGCATCACTTTAGAATTTACATTTATGCAGTTAAAAACCATTATGTCATGACATTTTGACTTATCAATAAGCAGTGTATAATTCTGGCATAAATAAAATTATCAAATAAAAAAATCTCACCTATATTTAAGAGGAAACATTAAAGATTCCAGGGCTCTACAAGCATCACTAAGTCTCTGGAAACTTGCAGAATGGAAGAGAACCTTATTTTCTGTGAGTACTGCACAGAAGAGGCTGAGGACGTTCTGAATTCCTGAAAACACAAGAGAAAAAACTTACTGAGTGCTGCCAACAATCAGACTTAAAATGACATAAAAAAAAAGAAAAAAGAAAGCCAATATTTTTGGAATCTCCAAAGGGAAATATCAGGATAAACTATAAATTGCATACAACCTGTGGGTCTTTGTTTTCCCAGATACTGTTTTATCTTTACTTTCCAAGTCAGTGTAACACTCATTGATAATAATGGTTGATTGGAAATATACTATTAACTTCTTCTCAACTTTATCTCCAAGGTCTGTACTTAAGTTCCTGTTTTAGACAATGGCATTGTTCTGCTAACTTTTTCCCATTAAAGTAAATCTGACATTAACATAATTAGACTTTGATTTGAAATTTGGTATAGCTTCTATTTTTTTACTACTTTGTTTTTTTAAAAGATTTATTTTTTGAAAAGGCAGAGTTGATAGGGTGAGGGAGAGGGCAAGAGATAACCTTCCACCTGCTACTTCACTCCCAAAGTGGCTGCAATAGCCAAGGCTGGGTTAGGCTGAAGCAAGGAGCCAAGAACTCCATCTGGGTCTCCCAAGTGAGTGGTAAAGGCCCAACTACTTGGGCCATCATTTGCTGCTTTCCCATGTGCATTATCAGAAAGCTGCATTGGAAGTAGAGCAGCTGAGACTTAAACAGGAACTTTGATAAGGCATGCAGATATCACAAATGGTTGCTTATCTAGCTGCATCATAATGTTACCCCTGTCTTTGTAACTCAGGACTTTCTCTACTTAAAATAAATATATATTTGATATATTTTAAAATCAAGTCTAACAACCTATAACATTAACCTGTAACATTTTAGTACTTCATTCCTTTTCATGCCTGAACAGCATTATTCCATTTTATGCATATACCTCATTTTGATTTCCCATCCATTCATCCTTTAGATGCACATCTGGGTTTTTGCTATCTTTTAGCTACTTGGAATAGTCCTTCTCTCAACATGCATACACATGTACCTGTTTCAGTATCCTTTTTTTTTTTTTTTTTTTTTGACAGGCAGAGTTAGGCAGTGTGAGAGAGAGAGAAACAGAGAGAAAGGTCTTCCTTTTCTGTTGGTTCACCCCCCAAATAGCTGCTATGGCCAGCGTGCTGTGCCAATACGAAGCCAGGAGCCAGGTGCTTCTCCTGGTCTCCCATGCGGGTACAGGGCCCAAGCACTTGAGCCATCCTCCACTGCACTCCTGGGCCACAGCAGAGAGCTGGACTGGAAGAGGAGCAACCGGGACTAGAATCCAGGGTGCTGGTGCTGCAGGTGGAGGATTAGCCTAGTGAGCTGTGGTGCTGGCCTTAGTATCCATTTTTAATTCTTTTGTATAAATATACCTAAAAGTTTAACTGTAAGGTTACATATGACTGCCATGTTTAATCTTTAAAGGAACTGTTTTACACAGCACTTGAACTACTTTACATTTCCACCAGCAATATGTGAATGTTCTAATTTCTTTACATCTGCAATAACACACCTTTTCCTTTTTTAAAAAAAAATTGTATCAATGCTGGTGAATACAAAATGATAATGCATTGTTGTTTTCTAATGTTTTGTAAATATCTATTTACTTGGTAGGCATAGTGGGAGGGGAAGGATGAGAATATCTTCTATCCACGCATTTATTCCCCAAATGCCTACAACAGCCATGGCTAGGCAAGGCTGAAGCCAGGAGCCAGGAACTCCAACTGAGTCTCCAACATGGGTGACCAAACCATCATTTGCTAATTTCCCAGGTGCATTAGCAGGGAGCCAGATCAGAAGCATAGTAGTGGGGACTTGAAAACCTGTACTTGTTCTGTACTGTACTGGGATGCTGGTGTCAGAACCATTTGCTGAAGAGACTCATCTTACAGTTTTGCTACTCTTGTCAAAAATCAATTCACCATAAATGTATGAGTTCATTTCTGGACTCTCAATTGTATCCACTGCTCTATGTGTCTATACTATGCCAAGGTCATACTATTTGCTTACTGAAGCTTTGTAGTACGTTTGAAATTGGGAAGAGTGAGCTGAACCTTCAAACTCTGTTCTTCCTCAATATTGCTTTGGTTATTAAATATACCACAAAATTCCACACAAATTTAAGGATCTTTTTTTTTTTTTTTTTTTTTTTTTTTGTGACAGGCAGAGTGGACAGTGAGAGAGAGAGACAGAGAGAAAGGTCTTCTCTTGCCGCTGGTTCACCCTCCAATGGCTGCCGGCGGACCACGCTGATCCGATAGCAGGAGCCAGGTGCTTCTCCTGGTCTCCCATGGGGTGCAGGGCCCAAGCACTTGGGCCATCCTCCACTGCACTCCCTGGCCACAGCAGAGAGCTGGCCTGGAAGAGGGGCAACTGGGACAGAATCCGGCACCCTGACTGGGACTAGAACCCAGTGTGCTGGCACCGCAAGACGGAGGATTAGCCTAGTGAGCCGCGGCGCCGGCTAGCTTTTCCCTTTCTACAAAAAAGGTCATTAGAGTTTTGATAAGAGTGCACTGTATCTTTAAATTGCTTTGCATAATACCAATATCCTAACAACACTGAATCTTCCAATCCATGAACATGAGTAGCCTTTATTTCTTCAGCCAATGTTTTGTAGTTTCCAAAGAACAAGCCTTTCACACTCTTGATTAAATTTATTCCTGGGCACTTTACTCTTTTAGACATAATGTAAAGGAATGGTTACACTAGTTTTATTTTCAAATTGTTTGCTGCTTGTATATCCTTTAAAAAAAAAAAAACTTTAAAAAATGAAGCACATGGGTAGGTATTTGGCACAGGGATTACGTCACCATTTGGGACACCTGCGTCCCATATAGCAGTGCCTGATTTGAATCTCAGGTTCTATGCTTCTGATCTAGCTTCATGCTTAGCATTCTGGGAAGCAGAAGGTGAGGGCTCAAGCACCGGGTCCCTGATTCCCATGTTGGAGACCTGATTGAGTTATGGATTCCTGTTACCAGCCTGGCCCTCTCTTGGCTGATATACTTGGGAGAGTGAAGCAGGGGATGGAAGATCTCTGTCCTTCAAACAAAACAAAATAAATAAAAATAGGTTTTTTTTTTTTTTTTTGACAGGCAGAGTGGACAGTGAGAGAGAGAGACAGAGAGAAAGGTCTTCCTTTGCCGTTGGTTCACCCTCCAATGGGACAGAATCCGGTGCCCCGACCGGGACTAGAACCCAGTGTGCCGGCACCGCAAGACGGAGGATTAGCCTACTGAGCCGCGGCGCCGGCCAAAAATAGGTTTAAAAAAAAAAAAAACTAAAGAACAGGGGTTGGCACTGTAGCTAAGCCTCTACCTGCAGCGCCAGCAACCCATATGGTCACTGGTTTGTGTCACAGCTGTTGCTCTTCTGATCCAGCTCTCTGCTAATGGCCTGGGAAAGCAGTGGAAAATGGCCCAAGTGCTTGGGCCCCTGCACCCACTCGGAAGACCTGGAGGAAGCTCCTAGTTCCAGATCGATTCAACTCTGGCCATTGAGCCATCTGGGGAGTGAACCAGTGGATAGAAAACCTTTCTGTCTCTCCCTCTGTCTTCTGTAGCTCAATAATTAATTAATTTTAAAAAATCTAAAAAAATTTCAAGAACAAACCTTAGCTCGTAAGTTATACAAAAACAACTTGAGTCTGCTTTGGCCACTGGACCATATTTGATGACAGCTGGTCAAATGTTTCTCTTGTTCATAGCAAATAGTTTGAACGTCCTTTTTAAAATGTAGTTTGGGGGCCAGTGCTGTGGCGTAGCAGGTAAAGCCACCACCTGCAGTGCGGGCACACTGGTTTGAGTCCTGGCTGCTCCACTTCCAATCCAACTCTCTAGTATGGCCTGGGAAAGCAGTACAGGATGGCCCAAGCCCTTGGATCCCTGTAAACACATGGGAGACCTGGAAGAAGCTCCTGGCTTTGGATCGGTGCAGCTCTGGTCGTTGTGGCCAATTGGGGAGTGAACCAGCAGATGGAAGACCTCTCTCTCTCTCTCTCTGCATAATTCTTTCAAATAAATAAATAAATATTTTTAAAATATGTAGTTTGACAAGCTCTGCCTTTGGAATTGAGAGATTGGTGCATTTACACTTAGTTTAACTGTTGATATGGAAGATTTGTCAGCCATTTTGCTCTTTATTTAGCATATTTTTTTAAGATTTATTTTATTTGAAAGAGTTAGAGAGAGAGAGAGAGACAGCGAGAGCAGTCTTCCATCTGCTGGTTCACTCCCCAGATGGCCACAACAGCCGCAGCTGCGCCGATCCAAAGCTGGGAGTCAGGAGCTTCTTTGGGGTCTCCCACTTGGGTACAGGGGCCCAAGCATTTGGGCCATTTTCCACTGCTTTCCCAGGCCATAGCAGAGAGCTGGATCAGAAGAGCAGCAGCCAGGACTAGAACCGGTGTCCATATGGAATCCTGGTGCCCATATGGGATGCCAGCACCTCAAGCCAGGGCTTTAACCCACTGTGCCACAGCGCAGGCCCCATTTAGCATTTCTTAAGTCTTTTATTTTGTTCCACTGTTCCCCCTTGACTTCTTCAGTGTTAAATATTATTTTTTAAGTTTGTCAGTTAATTCCTCTGATGATTTTATAACTGTATTTTTAATAATTTATTTAAAAGGCAGAGTTACAGAATGAGGGAGCAGTAGAGAGAGAGAGATCTTCCAACAACTGGTTCACTCCCCAAATGGCTGCAACTGCTGGGGCTGGGCCAGACCAAAGCTAGAAGTCAAGAGCTTCTTCCAGCCAGCGCCGCGGCTCACTAGGCTAATGCTCCACCTTGCAGCGCTGGCACACTGGGTTCTAGTCCTGGTCGGGGTGTCGGATTCTGTCCCGGTTGCCCCTCTTCCAGGCCAGCTCTCTGCTGTGGCCAGGGAGTGCAGTGGAGGATGGCCCAGGTACTTGGGCCCTGCACCCCATGGGAGACCAGGAGAAGTACCTGGCTCCTGCCATTGGATCAGCGCGGTGCGTAGGCCGCAGCGCGCCAGCCGTGGCGGCCATTGGAGGGTGAACCAAC